GCCCTGGCCCAGGTCCTTCATCCTGGAGAGCAACAGCAAGGAGATGGTGATGCTTGGCTGGGCGTGGGTGCGCCTTTCTTTTGTTTGTGTTGTTGTGTTGTTCTGTGTTGTGTTGTGTTGTGTTGTGTTGTGTTGTGTCGTTGGCTGGGCGGTTTGGTGCTTGGGTTGGTCTGGCTTTGCTTGGCTTGTGTTGTTTTGTTTTTACTACTACTCCTACTACTACTACTACCACCACTACTCCCACCACTACCTCTACCACTGCTACTACTACTACTACTACTACTCCTACTGCTACTACTACTACTACTACCACTACCACCACTACTACTACTACTACTACTCCTACTACTACAACAACAACTACTACTACAACTACTACTACGACTACTGCTACTACTACTACTACTACTGCTACTACTACTACTACTACTACTACTACTATTTGTACTACTTCTACCACTCATACCAGTAGCGTTTTTATTGAATGGTAAAATTTAGATTGGACTGTAACTATGCAAATGTCTGCGAAGGCACGTCTGTGATACATTATGTGCCACGAAGGCTCTCGAAAGCCACCCGTCCCACAAACTCTGCAAAACCTCCAGTGAAGGCAACCCAGCAGTGTGAAGGCATTTCACCCTTTAAAGAACATTGCTCATATAAGAAAACCTGACACCGACAGGGGGCCACCCATCTCATCGGTGTAACATTGATCGACATTCATCTCAGGTAGAATCTCTTGGGGCCCTTGCGAATGCCTTGCGTGAGCAGAACCTTGAGGTTTTCAAGAAGCTAGATCACCTGACAGCGTTGAATCGCGTTCAGAAGAGGAAGGTTGTCATGAAGAAGGGGGAGCTTCCGTGTGAGCGCGCTCTCTGTCTTCTGTGTGGTGCCAAAAAGCATCATGTCAAATGGATGTGCAAGGATGGCCATTGTACAGGTGGCACCTGCTATGCCTGCTTCAGAGCTTCCATTGTTTTGGATGTTTCTCGGTCTCCAACTCTGATAACAGAAAGTGGAGCTTCGGGGGTGGAGCTTCGGGGGTCTTTACGACCATGAGTCACCGTGTGCGGGTAGGTTTTGGAGATGCAGATGTGTGTCGCTGTGCGACTTGTGTTCCTAAGAAATCGAAGAAATGAATGGGAACACTTTTTGTTGCAGCCTTGCAGGGTAGGACAGTGCAAACGCACTGTCGTGGGGTACGCAGGGGCGGACAGTTTGAGGAACTTCCGCGGGAAGGAAAATCTTTGTTGCGAGCAGGTAACAGCAGCCAGCGACAGAGAAACAAGCAGTACACGCAATGCTGATTTGAAACTCTACTTGGTAAAGTGGTGCTGTCCGCAATTGGGAGAATCGGTATTCCATTTTTTCGATGAGAAGATCCGTAGAGGAATCGCTTCAAGGCAGTTGTTGCTTTGTTTTTTTTGTTTCGGCTTGGGCGATCAGGAAGCACGTTTCACCATGCCGCCCAAAGAACATTTGTCTGCGGCGAAGATAGCGAGACTATCCCGATTGGATTTGCAAGCTGCTTTGGATTCATGGGGTGCGCCGTACAAGAGCAGCGACCGTGATCTGCTGCTGAGGGCGAAGCTTGATGAGAAGATCGCAGAGACCCAGTCTGGTGAGAAAAGTGTCAGTGTTGCCAAAGGCAAAGACAAGTCTCGCACAGACGCGGCTTCCTCGAGACTCTTGCTTTTCATTGAGTGTAGTGGGCAAGTGGTTGGCCGGGCAACATTCGGACATCGTTCGGACGTCGTTTTGACCTCGTTTTGGACCTCGTTCGGAAACCCTTGAATTTCTGTGGCGGTTGTCCCATCTGAGGCGCATGTCCACAGCCGGCAGAGGCGCCGCCTCTTCCACCTCCTGCTGGCGATCCAGAAGCAGATGAGCCACTCGACCCTGTGGTGCGGTGCTTGGAATGCAATGCGGCAAAACCCTGGACAATCGGAGCTGCTTGCCGAAATATTGCCTTGCCTGCTTTCAGCGCAACCTGGATGAGCGCCTTGCGGCAGAGCCAGCTCTGACCCTGAGCGAGCCAGCTACGCCAGGAACTTTGCAAGCTGAAGCTGACTTGCCAATGCGTGACTCTGAGCCTGAATGTGGATGGCCGAGAAGAAAGCGGGAATCGGAGCAGTGCTGGTATGCCCGGGTGCAGGCACACTTGGATGGCCCGGACAAAAGAAAAAAACAAAAAACCTACATGTCCACGTGGCGGTCGAGCATGACTGAAGCGGACCGCCGTGCGTGGAAAGATGGAATTCAGAAAAGAGTTTCGGCAGAAGGGCCGGTGGAAGAGCCGGCGGAAGAGCCGGGCACAGAAGAGTTGGACCGCGGGCAAGTGGCAGAAAGTAGGCAGCAGGAGCCCGTGAAGGTGAAGGAGACTTCTCGAGTTTTGCTACAGAAGCCGTCGTTTCAAGAGCAGTGACAAACCTTTGCCATTTGCTGCAAGAAGTTGGAATCATGAATGGAGATGGTATTTTGGTGCAGGGGAATCGTCTGTTTGCATGTGACGAGAAGGGGCTGAGTCAAAGGGCCGATTCCTTGGCCAGTGGAGTGGTGGCACGCCACCAAACCAGAAGAGCCACCGCTGCCACTGCAAACGTCACTCGAGAGCATTTGACATTGACGTCGTTTGTCTCTGTGTCTGACCGTCGTTACCCAGTTGGTTGCGTGGTGCCGACCAAGACGGTTCACCCAGATATGCAGAAAATGTTCCCCCGGTCAGTGATTTACCCAAACCCATCAGGATCGACCACAGCTGCCATTTTTTCTGAGTTTGTGCTTCAATGCATGCTCTTGCCAGCAAGAGAACACATTGCAAGTGGCCAAGCACTGGTCTTAGTGCTTGATTCGGGCGGGGGTCAATGGTTGCACCTATCTCCGAGACTGCTTCAGTTGTGTTTGAAACACAACTGTAGATTGTTCTACCTCCCTGCATATACAACAAGAGCACTTTGTCCCCTGGATATGAATATCCACAGTGAGATGGCCAGGCTCTGGGCGGCCTTCAAGGCTGCTTGGGCACACAAGCAACAGCCGCTCACATTGTTTGTGGCGTTGCGGGCTGCGTCAGAAGTTTGTGACTCATCACTGCAGCCTGGTGTGGTCCGGGCAAGCTGGGCCCAGATTGGAATCCGTGCTGGGGAGGGCTATGATCGGGAGGTCATTTTCGTTCAGCGTTGCTCGTCGTTGCCAAGAGATGTTTCACGTTTTTCCATCAACGAATGTATGTTTCTCTTCGGAAAACACGAGACTTTCAATCATTCATTGTTTCGTGTCTTTTTTCAGGAAAGACGAGCATGAGAATCTCTGTCTCAGTTTGGTCACCAAGGTCATAAGGACATCTTCAAGAGCTTGAGGGATGGAAAGGGCACGGCTGCATCGTCCTCCGCTTCATCTGCTTTGGAGATATGTTCAAGAATGTCGCCGCAGAAGAACAAACATTCATGCGGACAGCTGGTGGGCGTTGATTGCAAATTTTGCCCGCACTGCGGCGGAGAAAACAGCAAGTTTGACAGCAGTAAGGCTGCCTTGTTTCAGACCAGACATCGTAAGGGATGGGAAAAGAAGGAGGCGCCAGCTGATGTCAAAGATGTCACTCCTGTGGAGGCACCTCTTCTGGCTCAGCTGGATGATTTGATGGCGACGCTTCGGAAGAAAAAGAAAGAGCCTGAAAGTGCCGAAGCACCTGCGCCTGCGGCAGAAACACCTGTGGCCCAGCCTGTGGCAGTTGCAGAAGGTCAATGTGAAGAAAAAGGCGATGCACCCCCGCCAAGTGAGTTCGACTGCTTGTCAGACGAAGAGCATGACCTGGCCACAGACATTGGCTGTAGAAACTTCATCCTGAGCCACTTTAGCAAAAAGAGACGTAAGGACATTGTCAAAGTGGCCGAGTTCTATGTGGGACACCTCAAGGCTCAAGCTTCGAAGAAGCACACCTTGTGGGAAATTTTCAGTATGAACGTGATCCAAAAGAACATGCTGAAGTCGACAGCTGGCAGGAATGCTTGGCTGTCGGCTTGGCAGGCCAACAGGGCCAAGCGGTTCCAGAAGGTTCACAAGAAGTGAGACTGAGACTTCTGAAGGAAGAGAAAAGTTTCCTACATGTTGCGTTCACATGGTGATTCATGGACAAACATGATGGTTTTGGGTGTCTTTGGATATGGTTTAAGATGTTGGGGTGACCTGCGTTCACATTGTGTTTTGCAAACCCTGGTGGTGTGATTTTTCAAGTTTTCAGAATTTGGTATTGCGTTTCCATGCGGGATAGCACTTGGGGTGAGTTTCTGGCCCAGTTGGGGGGCGTAGTTCCATGGGGGACAGGAAGTTCGCTTGTCGGTTGGGGGAAGTTTGGTGTTGCGGTGTTTCTTGTACTAAATAATACACACCAGGCATATTTCTTGTAATATCTTGTAATACATATATATATATATATATACTTCTCATTCCTGCAGTGGCCCCTTACCCTTGGTTCGCCTTGGCTGGCCGGAACAGTGTGAATGGCTCGACACGCAGGAGCTTCACAGTCAACATCAAAGGAGCCTTGGCTGCGGTTTTTACCTCGCCCGACCCAGATTTCACTCGGCAGGACTCGTGGCGGGCCATTCTCACGGCCGTCGGCCGAGAAGAATCAACCAGAATGCAAGCAGAGGGGAAAAGACAGTGGAGGAACATAGGCTAGATAGGCATCTGTGGGATCCAAGTTTTGGCTCCTTCGCCCAATCAGGTTGCTGCAATACCTTCACTTGAATTTGGCCAGGAATGCGTTTTCACCCAGGACCAATGGCGGAAGCTATTTCGCGAAGTGACAAAATTGAAGCTTTGGGCAGAATCCAGCCGGTGCAAGTTGACTTGGAAGATGATGCGATAGCGAACCAGCTTGTACTTGAAGGCAGCCATGTTGCAGGAAAGCTTCCCAGTTGCAAATGCTTGATGGGGTCGGCATTCCTCAAATTATGGCGTTGCAATAGGCAAAGCCTCAAGACGATTTTCTTGAGGGTTCTCAGATGTGTTGCATCAGAGGAAGGCAACACTGTTTCTGTTTATGTTTCTTTTCGGTTGATGAACTTGATGTTTTCAATACCCTCCAGCTTGGTGGAAATGATGGGATGCACCCCGCGGTGTTGTTCTTCAGCTTTCTTGATAGACACCCCTTTTTCAAGGGAGATGAATCTTACAAATGACAAAGGGGTGATGCTTCATCAGCAGGCTTTCCACGCGAAAGATGCTTTAAGCTTTTAAACCATTCCGGTGGCGCCATCCCATTCACATAAGCTGCCCATTTGATGGCTCGCAGGAAAGACTTGGTTGCACTCACTCGTAGAGGAACTTTCGCATGATAAATTTGGATGAATCTGGGTGAAGCTTGGATTGTAAGGGATTATGCATGGCACATCATGACACCAGTTTTGGTTTTGAACATGTTTGAATCATGCCATTCCTGTGGGAAGACAACACCCAAGCTGTCAAGATCCCAGGACGCTTTGTTTGCTCCGCTCGTCGTTGGTCGTTTGGTTCCAGCCGGCTGTGGCGTGGCCTTTCGACAGCAGGCCCGGCTGTGAGAACTCCAACTACCCAACGACATCAATTCGGTTTGTGCATTCGGTTTGTGACATTCATTCCAGTGAGGGCTTTTTCGATCGATCAATGCGTGTGGATACCGTGCATATTGCTCCTTATCCCTCGGACCTGGGAGGTGACCATGGGGAACCTGCAGATGACTCTTTGCAACAAGGCGCTGGGCTCCCCGTTGGGGAGTGATGAATATCCACCGTGGTGTGCACACGAGAGAGGGAGCTCGGCCGTGGTTGAGGTTGCAGGCAATTGCATGCAGGCATATTCTGCATATTGAGCCCTTAGTAATGCATTTACTTATTCATATTAGTTCATGCCTATATGTATGTACACTTGTGTTTAGAGAGAGATCAGAGAGAGAGAGGGTGTGTGCAGATAGCACGCAGTTCAAAAGCGTATCTCAGGCGTGCCGAGTTGTCACAGGGTGTTGCCCATCTCCCTCTTTTAGAGGTCCAGCGTTTGAGACGCCAAAGGTGTGAGGAAGTCCTTTAGAAAAGAACAGATCAAAAAGGGGGTTGAATAAAGGGGACTTCCCACCCACTGGATTTGTCTTTTAATGTTCCCAGAGGGGTTTAAGGAGGGTCTCTCTATTCTAATACCCATCGTTTGTTCTCATCAGGACATCCGTTTGGAACAAGACCTGTCTTGGCAGGTCCTCAGCTGCGAGTGTGGAAGCTCAGTTTTGGTGGAACCGTGTGTAAACATGCGTAAACCATGTTGCTGAGTCAGATTGGTAAACCAATCATCCCGAGGGCCACTTGGTCATTTCCTTTGTGGCATTTGTCGAGTCTACTCAGTCTCCTCGCCTGTGAAAGACTTCGTCGACAGAGCCATTTCGCTGTTCACACCGGCTGGTTTCCGCGAAACCGAAAAGCAAGTCCAGGAACCGGCCGAAGGACCTCCAAATAAACTGCTGGGTGGTTGCTAGTTTTCTGAAGAACCATTCAAGCTTGGTTTTGGAAGGATTCATTCGAGTCTTTACTTGGCAGCTTGTTCTGGGCGTGAAACCACCAAAAGGGTACAATCACACCGGATGTCTTATTGAGACCCTCCAGATTCCCCCGACTTGTCCCAGCATCAGCACACCGCAATTTGCGGTCATCGGCAGCATCCGAGTTACAGCGGTGTGAGTGAGACGTTGTGCAGCATGGGCCGCAGTTCGAGCCCAAGAGACCAGCTGAAGGGAACAACGGCGCAACGACTCACGTCATGGAATTGAATTGGTGTGTGGGAACGATTAGTATCTTAAATTGGGAGGTCTGCAAATAGAGCGGGGGTTATATGTTTATACATTTTTGTTCTTTGGGGTCCAACTGGAATCTGAACACATTTGATTTTGCACTCCCAAAATCTGAACAGGGATGTTTGATGTATGTGTTTGACAGTTTGCATAATTTGCTGTTCTGCCAAGAGTTGCCAGCACAGCACCACCTCAAAAAGAACTTGAAAAGATAGAAATCCCTGAAGCTTCTACTAACGTCTACTAAGATACGAAGATCTAGTTTGACGTCTATCATTCTAGCAGCTAGCAATACGGCAGTTTTTCTCCATCTCCGACATTCTTCCATCAGCATAGTCTCGGTTATATACCCTCCTCCAACAAACATGGACGTGACCAACCAACCCCCTGCTTCTAGAGAAAAAGTGTTGTTTTGAACAATGTTCATCAATTTTCCTGAATTTTCCACTTCCATGATGGTTTCAGGGAGTATAGACTGTATTAATTTTATCAAACATCTATAATGATAATAATATATACATATATAGCTTCTTATCATCACTGTTGAGCCCTTGAGCGTTCAGAAAGAAGATGAAGCCTGTCCATCCAGGTGTCCGTGGCGAGGCATCCGGGGACATGGTGGTTTTCTTTGATTCTACACTGGGAAGTGGTTGGGTCACAGATGGAATAGCTGAATTTGTAGTGTCACCCTGAGTAAATGGGACAATTCGAAAAACAGGGATGTTAAATTCTGGAACTGTGCATGCTCTTGTTGTGGCCTTAGAATTAACTGTCCAGAAACGATGACCCACAACTGCAATATGTAACTGGAAAAGCTTCTGTAGTCAGTTGGGCTCATTGCAGCAGCATAAATGCCATCGCAGTTGGACAGTCAATACTACATTTAGTTGACCGTTGAGATCTTGTTTTATATTTTGCTTCGTGATGCGCACCCCGGGATGGTTACAACATGTTACAACATCAATGTTGCGGTTGAGCTTCCCAGTTTGGAGGTCATTACCTTTTGGGGGTTTGCTCACTTCGTCGAAGTCCAGAGTACATGATGCAGAAGCAGATTGAGTGGAAGCCCCGTTTGTCAGCAATACATGGAGCAGTGTTCCTCTTCTTCATGACTGTAGTCCCCGGGCGTTTCGTTTTACCCCACCATGCGCAGGATATGCAGTTGGCGCTTCGGGTTGTCTTCGCTCCAATGGAGGCCTCAAGTTCTCGAGCTTTGTTCCAGCAAGGAAACAGGGTTCAAAAAGCTCTTTTTCCGTTTTTCCGCTCGACGGTGGGACATGACATGACGTGGCACAGCCTTTGAGACTTGGAGCACCCTGTACTGTAGTACTTGTAGCTGTTTGGTTTGCACTAATGGATTGATAACCCCCCCCACATGGTAGGTCAACAGGGTCAAGAAGATATGAGATACCACTCATAAGGTCCACCTCCCCTGAATAATCTGCTGGCTATGAGACCAGTACAGTATGCTAGTAGGGGTAGTAGTAGTAGTAGTAGTAGTAGCAGCAGGAGTAGTAGCAGGAGTAGTAGCAGGAGTAGGAGTAGTAGGAGTATAGTAGGAGTAGTAGTAGTAGTAATAGCAATAGTAATAGTAAAAGTAATAGTAATAGTAATCAGTAGGAAGTATCTAGTAGCAGTAGTTAGTAGTAGTAGTACTAGTAGTAGTAGTAGTAGTAGTCGTGGTGGTGGTGGTAGTAGTAGTAGTATCAGGGGTGGTAGTAGTAGTAGTAGTAGCAGTACTAGTACCATTGACCTGGTTGTGGGGTCGGATTGACTGGGGAGGGTTCTGGTGCCCAACTAAACGATTCAAGGGGAAAGTCAGCCATCAATACTGATGTTTATTTTGGGCAACTCTCCGAGGCTTTGTGGCTCGGATTAGCTAGGGCTAGGGGAGGTTTACATTATTTCTGACTTTACATTTCTTATATGTATTTACCGCGCAGAGGGGCTGTGTGGCTTGGCAACGGGGCAGCTTTGCTAACCAGCATGCTTTTAAGCACTTGTTACCTGCAGGCGTTTAATGTTTGGATCTTGAACTGGCGTGTTCAATGCAAGTAGCTCACTCAGCCGTCATCGGCGGAATTGGCACGGGAACCGGCAGATCCCGGTGTTGTGTGGAGCTGCCGGACGGGCCACTTTTGCTCAGGGCAAGAACTCCCTGAAGATGGGTGGCAGCCTCAATCAGCCCATGTCGTGGCCAATCCTGATGCCGGTTTCCTCTTAAAGCCAGCTTGGGGTCACCTTCCCGCAAAAT